ACTGAGACGCTTCCTTGGCCTGCTCAGAGCCCTGACCTTAACCCAATTGAGAATCTGTGGGATGAGTTGGATAGAAGTAAGTTAACAAATAAAACCTGCTTTTGCCAAACTCTTCGTTTGATCGCTTGCACATTGGCCGGTCTATGTAGGAACCAATTTAGAAGAGTAGTACGGACCGCGGTAGTTGTATGCATATTGATTATAATGCGAGTTCATTAGAATAAAACGCCAATACAGGCTTCACAGCGACAAATGACGGACATAATTCTGTACTTTATTTTGGATGGTACAAGCAATCTCCGGTAACGATCAGGCTTTTATGATAAACTGTGGCGGATTCTTCTTTATTCAAAGATTAACGGAAGCTACAACTATTGCCTGGATTATCCCGTTTCTCCTTAATTATGGCAATGGAAAAAAAAATAAATTTAATACTTGCTTTTCGGTGTCATTATAAATTCGAGTTTTCAAACCAGCTTTAGTTCGGATTGAATAAATGGTTAACGTATGTGTAATATCGGTGAAAAAGAATTTGTGGTGCTAGTTTTTCGTGCCGAGAAGTGACCTATGCGCCGTTATGGCGAGAGCTTTAATTGAATGACTTTGTTTTTGACACCCAGTGGATATTCAATGTGATAGAATTCCTATCAGTTGTCACAATCACGTCACTGATTGACTAACACGACAAAACCAGAAACTGTTAACAAGGCGCGCAAATGTTAAAACTTCAAGATGGCAAATTTCAATGATGCACCAACAATAATAAGTTCGCCAGATACAATGTAACTGTGACATATTATTTGACTAAGTCGTATTAATTGTCCTTCTTGTCTTTGAGAGGAAGTCGGCTGTGTTGACTGAGGAGTAGCGGTTGGCATTAAAGCTATATTGTGATTTTATTATATTAATATATTTCAGCTCGAGTATCACTACTATTAGAGTTTGAGGAATTTGATTGGTCATTGAGTCTCTATTACTATAGCCAGCCATAATTCTTTAAATGAAGTAAAGAAAGCTGTGATACCAGCAGGATTTGCTCCTTCCATTCGAATATAAAGCTCAGTAGGTAAATGAGCCATGAGAAATCTCAAAGCATTAGAATCATTTACATTGTCAGGCACATTGACGAATTCTAGCTCTAGCTCTGGATTATCATCAGTTTTAAATGTTTCTTGAGATAATTTTTGAATAGCAGACTGGCAAGTACCAACTGTTCTTTGTAGATAGGTATCTCCAAGCCATGCTCTAAAGTGAGCTGGAGTATCAATATTATTTCCTGCATGTTGGTAAATACTTTCCTGCTATTTTGATTTATAAATATCTGATCAGTAAAAGTATTGGCATTTGCACTATTTATACTAGCATCAGCAATCATTGTATCAGTATAGCTGATGACTGTTTCATCCTATTACAATAGTCATCTGGTGGTTCCTGTCCAATATTAATATATGGGCAAGACTTGTTTGAATAATTTGATAAATATGTTGCCTTGTAAATTTAAAATTAATTGCCAGCTTAATACTAACTTCAAATCAACATAACATAGTAGTATAAACGTGTAGCTAACCTCTTTTCTTAATATTAACATAACATATTAACATAACTATCTCAAGATATTCAAACATATATCTTATGACTTACTTCGTTAATATACTAGTTCAAAAAACCGAGTTTAACGCTTGCCCCGCAATACATTATACTATGTACAGCGTTGACGAGACGTCTGTAGCTGAAAGATGAAGAAACTTACGTGCTCATAGTATATAGTCAGCAAAATGCTTGGGTTCGACAGTTGCATTGAAATCAGAAAACTTTGAGTAGCTAACATTAGTGATAACAACAAAAATTTGTTTATCTTTACAAATATGGCACGCGATTTGTTTACTGTTCAACAAGTACCACATCAACTCCAGCTCGGGACGTTCCGAATCGAACATTTCCACGTGATCCGAACATTTTTGTTTGCCATGGCTAGGGTACTAATCGCAAACGACTGTCCTATCTAAACTAAGTTAATACTGTATAGTACAACGAAACACTGCTGCTGAATCTTTGGTATAACCTGTATAACAACACCGAGTATAATTACAAGAACACAAACGCATTTTTGGAAAGTTTATCAGGTTATCTAAAAGCACATTTTGCAAAGTCATATTGAAGATATCAATAGATGGTACAAATAACTTATAGCAACTGTTGTTATAACTTTATCCACTACTAACATATAAGCAGGTGGATGTTTGAAACGATTTTTAATAGCTTTATTTTCTATAGTATTAAAGTATTTAATAATATGTATGATTTATTAAGTTTGGCAGAATGATTTGATATGTAATTACACTTCGTCTGTAATGAATGCATCTTTATGTAGGATAACTAGATATAAATTTATAGGGGGCTTCGCCCCCTGTATTGACATATAATTCTGTTGAGAAAACCATTGTAAACATGATGCATAAATAGTGGTTATCTTATTATTATATATGGTAGAGTATTTATTGCTTACAAATTATAATGTTGATGAAAATTTTTATTTTCTGATATTCACATTAACCCGTAGCACAAATTTAATCAAATATTTCAAACACGCGGAATTACTATAAATTCCGTAACGTATTAACAATACAACGTTTGGCTAATCTGACCACAGACTAATAA